TAACAACTAGACCAAGACCATTAAGTTCATTACACCTGTCACTCTGCCAGCTGACTATCCAAATTGCCAGAGATGAAAGTACATTATGCCCAAGGAGTGCCACCCAGCCCCCTCCCAAGGCAGTACCACACTTATCTCAGACAATTTGTTCTCAATGTCTGCACCTGCAGAACGAATGCAACCATAAACAGCTTGAAACTTGGCTCTGAGAAATCTTAGGGCCTGAGCAGGTCCACATAAGAACAAAGTTTGGTTTCTTGGAGCAGGTCCCTGAGAGGAAGAATAGGTGCCAGGTCCCCTCATGAGGAAGAAGGTGGGATCCAAGAAGGGGGAGGGGCAAGGCAAAGAGGACAAAGTCACCAGCAAAACTAAGGACACAGAGCTGCTATGTGAATTCTGCTGCCCTGATGCACTGCCAAAGATAAAAGCAAGAGACACCCCCTTTTTGTTTCTGAACCTTGTCACAGAACTGTAGGCTACTGCAGAGGTCTTCCCTGCAGCTGCACAGCCAACAGGCTCTCCTTGCATGTACTCTGCCGGCCCCAGGCTGCAGGGTGCGTTAGCAGTGCAAGCGTGTTGCAGACAGCGGTAATTTATTTATCCTTGTCATGTAACATTAGCAATCTGTCTGGAGCTTGGCAGGCACCAACTTGCACTGTCATATAAACTGTCTGACAAACTTAAAGTTTCATAAATGCTTTTCTTTTCCAGCAGACAATAAAGCATCATTTAAAAAAAAGTTATCTCCTTTTCTGTTCCTTTTCTTTCTTCCTCTTAAAAAAGAAGAAGAAGAAGGAGGAGGAGGAGGAAAAGAAAGAAAATCAACAACAAAAGAACTAGGCAAACAGAAATGATCCCTCAGCAGGATTCTTAACCTTGAAAGTCTCAACATTTTTCCAATGCCAAACAAATGAGTAAATAAATGGATGGGGGAGGGGATGTGCTGGGGGCCAGTTGTGAAGGGGGTACAGAGCAAAATCTGAAAAACAAAAGTACAGTCATTAAAAATTAATAAAGGGTGTGGACATCAGCTCCCCACCCCCTTCTACTCATGGGGATTTGAGCCAGACATTCTGCATCCTCATTAAGTGGTGTCTGGCAGGCTGCCTGAGTTTTAGTGGGTTCTGGGAATGCCAATATATTAACCAGAGGACTTTTTGCATACCCTTCAGAGTTTTATTCTAGAAAAGTCAAACATTTGGCACTCTGTTGCCTTATTTTTGTCCAGGAAAGCTCTCAGCTGCCAATCAAGGTAGAAATTATAGCTATGTTCTTCAAAATTTCCAAGACCTATCTGGAAAACAAGTCTGGTGGAAAGAAATGTCCTCACAAAAACAGCTGAAAAGGCCAAAGTACCATTTTTAGTGGGAATTCAAAGAAAAGCAATCTATACTTAAATCACATGTATATGAGACAACACAGACATTATTTTCAAGTCCTCCTGTGGTAGAGGAAAAAAACAATTAATTGGAAATATAAACCAAATATTTCTATATCAATTAATAGTACAGGCACTTGGCTATTTCCTTTAGCTGCTTAACACTGAGGCAAATGATGCCACACACACACACAAAAAAAAAACTCCCTAAAAAGTGGCAGGTCATGCGGCCTAAATTTTCAACCAGAAGACAGAAGCTTTACATTCCTATTTTAAAACTTAAGATTCACCTTTCATGCACATTCATAATATAGGTCAAGGTGTAATTCTAGAGTAACAAATCCCATGTAGGCAGACAGTCACTTTAATATCAGATAATAATGGCTTCCAAGCGAGTTTTCTGAGACCTAAAAAATGGAAGGAAAGAATGGAAGGAGGAAGGGAGGAGGAGGGGGAAGAAGGGAGGAAAAGGCAATTTGGGACTATGTAGCTATTTTGCCACTTCATATTTAATAGCCCATGAGTCTATATAAAGTATATTAAATACTTCTAAAAATTTTCCAGTTTAACATGGAATGATCTGTCACTCCTTGAGTTTCCTTTCTTCTCTATTAACTGTCATCCAGAAAGGACAGACACGTCATAGAGACTTCATAAGCCTAGATTCAGAAGATAGATGAAGAGAAACATGGTGAGGGCTAACAGAAAGGTCTAACCAGTCACAGTCGAAATGTCCCTGCCCTGAGTCCTGAGAGTAGTTTTACATGGTGACACAGAGCAACACCCCTGCCCAGACCATGGGGTGACTAAATGCTGGACTTACTACATGCTGGGAGAGTACAAAAGGATCCAGAAAGAGCTTTGTGGTTTCTACTCGATAGCAGGCCAGAAACTACCTTCAGAGAGCAAAAGTCACTCTCACTCTTTATATTCTGTCCGGCTGGGAGTTGTCCCTCCCTCCACAGGCCCCAGATAAAAAATAGACAGTGTCCTATTAGCCCCCAAGGCTGCTCTGCCAGGCTGCTAAGTTGACCAAGACCATATTACAGTCCCAAATTGTAAACTTCTCTGCCGATGGGTCCTTGTTCTCAGTGCACCACACACAAATACTATTCTTAGGACATTGTCAACAGTTGGGAGGAAATAAATATTTGTGCGCGCGCGCGCACACACACACACACACACACACACACACACTCGGGGGGTGGACTTTGAATCCAACAAATTGGCACAAAATCCCTTAAGAAGCAGTTGGCACTGGCCAGGTTCCTCTGCAGGACTGTGGTCATGCAAATCAAGCCCCTAAGAGAATTCAAGAGACAGCCCCAAAATCCTCCTGGGAATAGTTTTCTCCATCATAAATATAAACCTACACAAACTAGAAATGTGGCCAATGAGGGCAAATTTTTCCAAAGGCAACAGCAGAATGTTAGAAAATTAGAGGGGCATTTTAAAATAAGGGATAGATGTAGCTACAACTCCATTACAACAAATAATCCCTTACTGACATTTACAGTCTGGCACCTAATTCCTAACAATGTGTTCAAATGTCAATAGTAACATGAAGCCTTCAAAAGAATTAAGTTTTCAGAGATCAGGAAGAATTTACCCCCTGCTTTGCAAGGACCACTCAATGGTATTCAAGGGCTGATAGGAAATAAAATATTATAATTCAATAAATGTACATGGGTAATAGTCTGATCTACACATTTGTCAATGTAATGACTCAAGTTTTACATTATGATCCTTCACTGAACATAAAGAATATGTTTCGAGAGAATTCTGCAAAGTACAAAGGCAGATGTACTGATGACAATAAACTCAGTATATATAATAGAAAAGACTAAATACTCATATGCAAAATGCAGAACATGACTTGATGCAATGGCAGCTTCTCCGTGCAGACTCTACTGAATCTTTCCGGTAATTCAATACTCAGTCCTGAAGCTCTGGGGGAGATACAAATGGGAAAATACCTTCCTTGGCTAGCCAAGCAAGAGGAAAGGGCCACCTTACAGGGACATTTCCCAGACCCAGTCCCAACCTCCATGCCAGCCAAGGCCGAAGAACCAAGGCTGTTCACCATCTCTACCCATCTCCACTGCAAGAAACTAACAGTAGTTCTCTGAATCAGCACTCTGTACAACTAATCTCACCTCACATCCCACAATGCCAAGCACACAGTAGGTCATCAATTGATATCAGAATCATAATTAATATTGAAAGCAGCACTAAACTATAAGTGAAGGGGTCCAGGGACAAGCTGCCAAAATAATAAGAAAAAGAAGGAAATAGATGGGTCACAGAGGAAAAGTAGCAAATCAAAATTATCCAATTCTATCTAATTAAAAGACTAAGAAAAATAAAAATTGAGCTAGTTTATGTGGCCATTGCCTCTCAGTAATCATTCCTATTCCTGGGTAGTAGGAGCGAGGAAGCCCTACTTGCTTTAAAGAGTTTTTTACAGTCCTGACATCAGCACGGTGCCCTGTAGCAAAACCCGAGAAATAGGGCAACCGAACCATGCGCCTTCTCCAGGTGTCACCCACCCAGCACGCATCATGTCGTCCTCCTCAAAATCTCTGCCTCATTAGGCAACCTCTTTCTTTTCCAATTAAAAAAAAAAAAAGTTTAAAAACAAGCAAGTGCCCTCACAGCAAATTAACCTGAACAGAGCCCACTGCCTCCGATCAGCGTGCTTACAGAGCGCGCTCCCAACCCCACCCTGGGCGGCCCAATTGGATGGGGTCCCGAGGAAGCCTCCTCACCGTCGTGTTGGCTGAACCCACAACAAAGGCAAGTGTGGGACCCGAACTGGGCGATCGTTGCTTCCTGTTTATTCTACCGTGAGGGTCAAAGAGAAATTCAACACACGCTTGCTTCCTCCAGAGCTCGGAGAGCCTAAGTGTAACAGCAGCCGCCCGAAACAATCGACTTCCCAGCCAACGCCGGGAGCTCCGGGCGGCCCCGCGACCGACGTCAACGCGCGCGGGGGAACCGGGACAGACGCCGGGTGAGGCAAATCCTAGGATTTGCAGGGTGCAGGGGCTGAGGGCTGCAGGACGCAGGGCTGCAGGACGCAGGGTCCTCAGCACTGTCCGCGTCCGTTCCCTTTCCTCTCCGCAAACTCCCCTGCAAGGTCCAGCACAATCTTCCCTCTTCCCTCTGACCTCCAGTCCCCCGACCGAGAGGCCCAAGGGAGCCACGACCTCAGTTTGAGCGGCCACCCCCATGCTCACCCCGGCCTCCGGGAGGTACAGAATTAAGTCTCTCAATCGCAGGACAACCCGCGTTGGGGCACCGGGAAATAGAAAACGTTGTGGGGGGCGGCAGTGTACCTCCATCAAAGCACACCCGCAAAGGCAGCGGGGTCGCCCTCCCACATCAGACACTCCCACTCGCGGTGCCCACTGGAGATACTGTCTCACAGACCTCGCGCACTCGTCTCCTAGGCACTCGCCGAGGCGCAGGCTCGCGAACGTCCCGTTCCCGAAGCGTCCTGTCCCTGCGTCCCCCACCACCCCTGCGCCGCGCCGCGCCCCGCCCCGCCCCGGTCCTCAGCGCAGCGCTGAACTTGAGCCAGACGCCACTACCACATCAGCCACCTCGGGTTCCTACTCACCTGCGGCTGCCCCTCCTGAGCAGAGACTGGGGACCGCCCGCAGTGCGGCTCACGGGGCCACCGGGCCCTGCCGGGCGCAGGGCCGCCACAACGGGGGGCGCGGCGCCCCGGGTCTCTTTAAGAGCCGGGACCTTAGACCGTGGCCTCCCCCGCGTTCCTCGCCCCCCTTTCACTTTCCCAGTGACTCGCAGCCTATCTGGCGGCGACGGCGGCGGCAGCGGCGCCTCCCCGGCTCGCAGGGGAACCCCGGCCGGCCGCGGGGGCGCGCGGGACGGGCAGGGCCAGCCGCACTCGCCTGCCTGTCCCGCCCGGCCCGGCCCGCAGCCTCAGGGCAGGGGGTAGAATGGAGACAGTGCTGCGGCCTCCGAGGGATCTGTCCCGCCTCCCGTCGCCAGAGGGGGGAGTCTCCCGCCTCCTGCCGCCGCCGTCTGTCTCCTGCCGTCACTGTGCTCGCGGAGGCAGTGTCTGTCTCCAACTCCTCGTCTCTCCTCCCTCCCCATCCCCCTCCGCGGTGGGGACCCGGCCTGCAGCCAGGCCGCTGGGGACCGCGGTACTGGCGACGGTGGGCCGACCCCGACCCGCGCGCACAGACCGAACCGACCTCTAGAGGCTGCGGGCAGGGAGCTGGGAGCCTGAGGGCGCCAAGGCCGCGGGACCCCAGGGCTCCTCGGGGCCGACCGGCTGTGCACGCGGCAGTGGGCTCGGGCCTCGCGGGGCGCGCGCCCACCGCCGGCCGGACGGGGAACTCCAAGTGCGGAGAGATTGCAGGCTGTGGCGCCGGGAAGAGCCAGCTTGCGGTTGCCGGCTAGGGGCTGCCTCCAAACAGCCTGCCTGTTCAGTGCACAAGCCGGAAGACGCATCGTAGAGCTTAGGATGGGACAGGTGAATCCTCGGGAAGCCAGCCCCGCGGGGCTCCTTCTGACCCCACGAAGTCACCCCTTTAGGATCTCCTCCCTTTATAAGGGAAATGGCTTCAGACTGGAGGTTCAGTTGAATTCTTCCCGCTACGACTCTTCTTGAAGGACCAATATCTTTACTCTTCTGAAGACCGATTAGGACTTAACTCCACTTGAGTGCAGGCAGCATGCATTTTTTGCCCTTCAAAAGTGCTAGCACTGACATCAGCCAACCTAACGTTTGTTAGGGGTTTGGTCACTGTTATAGCATATGAGCATTTTAACCCAATTTTATTACAGTCACCAAAATTAGACAATTCCGCTCTGCCAAAATATTCTAAGGGTTTCAGACAAGGCCTAACAGGTGCAGCAAATTAAAGAGGTAACAAATTCAGCCTGTACTCCCCAAGTTAACCACCTCATCCTTTCAAAACATCAGAAAATAGTCTTTTGAAATCTACAATTAATTTATCAGTAACTTTTTAGTTGGTGAAATGCCGGCTTTATTCAGCTTCATTTAAAGAGCCCTCAGCTCTCCTCAACTATCATAGTAATTGTTATGTAGAGTTTGGTAAGAGCTCATATGTAATATAACTTTCACTTGTTGGGAGCAAATGTGCCAAGGCCTGTACTAAGTATAACAGATTGTTTTTATTTACTCCCCATAATAACTGTAGCAGCTATGAATTTCCCATTTTACACTGAAAAACTGAGGTGATGAAGGATTTAGAAACTTGTTTCCAGACCACAGAGGTGGGTGTAAAATTCCAAACTGGCTGCATTTAAAGTTGGGAGTTGAACCATACTGCCACCTACCTACAGTTTTGACATCCAGTTCAGTTGGTCTCAGCCCGGCAACAATTTACAGCATCTGCTCAATGCCAGACACTCTGCCAGCACAGTGGAGAATGCCCAGGTCCTAGGCTAACAGAGGAGCATTTCGACTAGTGGGACAACTTTGAATCTCACTGCTAGAGTAAACTTTTTAAAATAAGCAGTGAGTTGATAAGTGCTTAATACAGGTTATCGGAAGGTGATAAGCATATACCTAGTATACATTTAAAGTAGACAGATTCATGTCACACTAATAGCAGCTCACATGCTATGGGGTTGGAGAAACTGCTATTGCCCTCTTGGGGTGAAAAGAGAAATGGCTTTTTTGTTCTAAACCAGAAACTGCCCAGGGACAGGGAAGAATAAAGTAGTTTTTCCAAAATCATAAAACAATTTGTTCTTCTCTTTCTCTTGTGCATAATTTCTGTGTGCAACTTAACCCTTTTAAATTGAGAGCTGGGTTTTTGAATCTTAACCTCAATTTTACCACTTATGATGAGCCTTAATTAATCTTGCATTCCCTTTTCTTGTTGTCTTCCCTAATTTATAATTAGAAACTGCGCATCTTTATTTCTATTTCTAGAATGTAGCTATAAGAGGAACCTTTCCCTGCATTTTCCACTCTGTCCTCCCTGTATATGTTTTCCATTTCAGCTGTTGCCTCCCACACTCTTCCAAACACATACGCACACTCATTATAGCAATGGAAGAGTTGGAGGCATTTAGTTACATGTTTGCTCTCTGTAAATTCAACACAATATATATCAGCTTTACCGTGATCATTAGTAATCTACTACATCCACTCTAAGAGCCCAGAATGAAGCCCAGACAAACAGGACTTTGTTTTGCTCAGAACAGTGGAGAGTGTGTATCCCCAGCACACAGAATTGTGCCTGACACTCACTAAAGACTCAATAGATATTTGGGGAATTAATGGAGTCTAATATTGGAATAAAGTTTAAAATATCACTAAATTGGAAGGAAATCAACTGAAACTGATTTTAAGGAGGAGAACGAGAAAAATTCCTTCTCAATATGGATCTATTGCAGTTTACCTGGTGTTGGTTATATCCTGACCATACTTAGTTCATAGAAGAAGGTCAGTCATCTAAGAAGACAGGAATAGAAAGGAGAAATATGAGCAAATGTTGGGGAAAATATCCTGAGGGCCTCAAGTGACCACAGATAAATGTGAATCAGAGAATATAATTCTGTTATTTGGATCTCATGCATAACATTTAGATGAAACTTAAGCTATCCAAAATGATTCTTCCTATTCTTTTTATCTTTTAATTTAAATTAAAAATGGGAGAAAGAAGTGCAAAAAGCAGCTTACATTGAGTGGTTATGCTGGGGAAGTGAGAGCTTCCATGTAGATAAATACAGGTGACCGGAATCTATGGATTAGCTCAGCTCCAGGAGAGAGGGATCTGTCCCACATGCCTTGAAGATGTCATGGGCATATTTCATCACATTACTCTTCACCATCAGATTGTCTCAGTGTTCAGTCTGCATAACAATTCCTGCATCACAGAATCTGTTTTGAGGTTGGCCATGTCCCCATCTATATACATATACCCTCCCTGGGATCTACAAATCACCCGCTTCCTCCTATGAATTTAGGTTTAAAACCACAAGAGACAGAAAGGAAAATGTTTTTATCAGGCAATTTCTGCTTTCAGCCTTGCTGTAATACTCTCCTTGGACAAAACAAAACAAAACCCACAAAACAAAAACAAAAATGCTCTCTCCTCGAAGGAAAATACAGCAAGGAGTAATGTAAATAATTACCTCAAAGATTATCCATCCAGACATACTTATATATGGTATCTATACATCAGTTAACAAAAATTATGGAACAGTTCCTGATCAATGACACATTATTTTCAAGTCATTTACATTAAAGGATAGTAAAGTCTCTTCAGTCTGTTAGGGCCACAGCAGTTCACAACTCCTGCCTCTTCTGGTTCCTATAGGCCCCACCCTCCAAACCCAAGTTAACCCACACCGTGGCAGAGCATCTCAGAGCTCAATGAGCCTTGTCCTGAACTTTGGGGCTCTCTCTCTGTTGCAATGACCAGCATCTGGGTGTAAAGTGGTCTCTCAAACCTCATGTCCCATTGCTTTCCAACACATGGTCTAGCCAGCTCCCTATTAGGATATAAATTGTCCTCAGGTTAAGTATTTAGGACAGTACCTGGCCCAAAATGTACTCAATAAATATTAGCTTTCTTCAGTCCTTTTCTTTTCCTTACCAACAGGGACAGACTCTCTGGTGTCAACACTGGATCCATGCTTCCCAGAATTCCTTTCCTGTGGGGTTCCAGGTTAGGGATGCCACAAGAGGAAGTGTGTACATTATGTAGGGAGGAAGACACGCAGTGGCTGGTCCTCTACAAGGGGAGCATGGGGCGCCAGGCACTGTGTAGTCTACATGTGTCCCTGACCTCTCCCTTTATCCTCTTGGCCCTTTGTCCTGGGTCAAGTTGGAGCACATACAGCCCTTTGCCAAAGGACACTAGCCTCTTCCACACATTGCCTGCATCACTGAAGTTGAACTGACTAAAAACAGACACAGTTTGTTTTGTCTTTGTGGCCTCCAGGTTGCCCCTCTGCGTGATATTTGTCCTTGCTCTCCTCTACTTCATGACTAGTTTTCCTCCCTGCCTGCCAGCGTGCCAGACACAGACTCAACAACCTCTCACAAGCTTGTCACTATTGCCTATAATAAATTCCGCTTCCATGTCACTTACAAAGGTTCTGCTTTTCTAACTGATACATCATTGTCTGTAGAGGATATAATCCCCTCATCTAGCTTGCTTTAAGGAAAGGTGTTCCATTAAAAAAAAAAAAGGCAAACTACTTGTAAATATTCTTTAAAAAGAAGATACTAAGTGGCCAATGAGCACTTGAAAAGGTACTCAACTCATTAGGGAAATATAATTTAAAACCATAATGAAATAACACATCAACTGGAAGTGTGAAAATTAAGAAGACTGATAATTCTAAATGTTCACAAGGTTGTGAAACAGCTAGAACTTGCATACCCAGAAATTCTGCTCTTAGGAGGATAGGAGAAATAAGTGCAAATGTTGGCCAAAAGGTAAGTACAAGATATTCATAACAGTTTATTCATTAATATTTTTAAAAATTTTAAAAAACTAGAAACAACCCAAATGTCCATCAGTGAATAAAGAATAAAGAAATTGTGGTACACTCATATAATGAAAGACTACATAGATTAAAAATTTTTAATTGTGGGCACATGCAACATAGATGAACATCACAGAACCTTATTTGAGTGATGGAAAGTAAGTGCAAAAGAATAATTATGATTTTATTTAAGTGAAGTTTCAAAATAGGAGAAGATCATTGGTGGCGATAAAAGAACAGTAGTTTAGGTGGCATTAGATAGGAAAGAGGCAAAAGAGAATGTTGGTGAAGAGTAAGAAATGTTCTATATTTTGATATGGGTGTGGTTACAGG